GATACATATGCGTACCGAACCGAAAGCACTGTATCGAACGGTTCAATATCGATACGAATATCGTTGCACCCCTAATAGTCACTGCTGCTGCCAGCATTTATCCACCCACCCGGTGGGGTGACCATGATACCCCATCAGCCTTACGTGGCTAAGGGGTAAAAAATGGTGACAGAAAGAGAAGCTGGAATTGCACAGGAGGAAATGACACCACTGAATGGGCCGATCACAGCTGCACTGACATGACGTGGTTACCATTCTGAGGGGCTGCAGCGTAAAATCAATGAGCAATAAAAACTAAATTTTTCATGACCAACTTTCTCATTTAAATGAACCTAACTTGAAAATAAACCTGTCTTTATTATTGATGTGACCATTTCTCCTGACTGAGACAGTACCCCATCAGAGAAATCACTGTCATTACCCTGAATATAACATGGCTGAGCATGTGACAGTACACAGTGTACATCAGCCTTAATAATAGATCCATCCTGATAATGGCTCCATCCAGCTCGGTCCTGATCTGTGTCTCTCTGCGGGGATCTGGAATGGCTTGATGTTACTGCAGCCACTGCCTGATACTGCACAACTCATCTATATTTCAGTAGGGCAGTGTGGAGTGTGTGTGTGTGTGTGTGAGAAAAGACAGGGCGAGAGATGGAGTGGACAATCACTTCTTTAATTTAGTAGTCTAATTCTGGTTGCAAGCTGGGCAAATAAGTGAATTTAAAGAGCAGTGTTATAGTGAGAGCTGTGAATCTGTGCTGGAGCCCTTTCTTTGTTTAGTTTCACTTACTCAACAAGCTTGTAAAGATTCTTTTTACAATTTAACCCAGCGGTCCCCAACCCCTGGGCCTCGGACCGGTATCGGTCCGTGAGTCGTTTGGTCCCGGGCCACGAGAGTTGAGGCTCAGGTGTGAAATGTACGGTTTTCAGGGTTTTTATCGGTTTTCAGCGTTATTTTATCGTTTTTATCGTTAACTCAGTTTTCCTGGGTCTTTTCACGTGTGTTATGAATAAATCTTCTTTTTTTCGGTACCGGTACTAGTTTTATTTTGTTGTATTTATCTGCGACACCTTAAAGGCCGGTCCGTGAAAATATTGTCGGGCATAAACCGGTCCGTGGCGCAAAAAAGGTTGGGGACCGCTGATTTAACCCACAAAGTGACAAAAGCAGCAGAAAGCTACAACACCAAGGAGCTTTCCTGTGGATGCACTCTGGACCTTAACATCCATAACAGACAGTGACTGTCTCCGACCTCACCCTCTCAAAGTCAAAGCCACGCAGAAATTTTTCTTCCATGCTGTCAAGATGTTCTGAGATAGAGGCTGGCACCAAATCACAGGCATGTGTGAAAGCATGGCCTTTTTAAGTCAACTCAGATCTGACCACATCAGACGTAAAGGCAAATAGTCACATGAAATTTTCAATTTCATTACACCCCCCCCACAGAATGACACAGAATACTAGAAACTAGTATTTTCACCTGAGATTTTTTATGTATTTTTTGATAAACAAGTTACAGTAAGTAAAAGGTCTCTTTTATCTACTTTCTGTTACTGGCTCATCTTCTAGCTTTGTTTCCTTTTGTGTCAACATTTTCTAAAAAAGAAATTTTTTTAACGCTCACAAATTGGAAACCTCTGGTGCTTGTTTGACAATCTTTTAGGTTTTACTCTAACATGTTCAGTTTACAAAGAAAGCAGGTTAAAGGCACTCCCACACTGGATTTTCACCACGGGTAACCTGCCATTATATACAATTTATGCTGTTGTTGTTTTTTTAACATTTATTATATTTAGTGTGAAACACAGGGAAACATTTTCTGTCTGAAAGCACTGAAAAATGTTGGCTAGCCACAGTGAATTTAAGACTGACTCAGACTGACATCTGTCCAGTTCTTAACTACCAGCCTCCATCAGGGCTAGCAGGAAGACAAGTAAGGCCTTCACCCACTGCAGAGTTAAGATTTAGACCTACTGGGCATTTCAATGTCAGCAACGGGCTTTAAGGTCAACTAATGCCCCCAAAGAGATAGCTGGGAAGTTATTACACTGAGGAGTGGAAAAGAGAGAAGCTCAGGCTGACCTTTAAAAAACCACACTTAAATCAGCCAACGCCACAGGCGCTGTTCTACGTTGGGCTCACTCTGCTTCTGTGTGTCAGTGTGTGTGCACGTTTAGAAGGTTAGTGCAAATCTGCTGCCTCCTTAAAGACACTGACGCTGGAGTAAATCAGCATGCGTCTACAAAGCTGAAAGCTGATCTTTGCTTTAGCGATTGGTGACATATTTTTCTCAGTTTGTCGAAATGATGCATCACTTTCAATCAAACATGATGTTGAAAGCTTACCTTATACGGGAGGAAGAGGGACTTGACTGCTGCTAGGAGACTTGTGGTATCTGGAGCATCCCTCTGGCCACAGATCACAATCTAAAAAAGATAAATAAAAAAAAATAGAAGAGGGAGGGTGAGGAAAAAAAGATTATGTGGATGAAAGGAGAAGGAAGAAAGAGGAAAGAAGTATAATAAGACCAAAGCAATGGGGGGAAAGGTGACACGTGGGACGAGGAGATGGAGAGGAAGTGATATAGGTCAGTACTGTATTTGTAGCACTAACAAGGGAGGCAGGTGTTTTCTCTGGGATTGCCTTCCCCTGCTTTACTTCTCAGCTTGTTACCCTCGCGCTGTTACCCTGACCTGTCACCCTGTCATCTATGACAGACAAACCCCTAACTAATCCTGTTTTAGGCTCCTGTTATTCCCTTCTCTCACACGCTTTCAAACTTAAAATTTTCTTTGAGTGTTACAGAAACTTTGGGCTAACTCCTGCTGTGCCTGCTAGTTTTGGTGGTTTCAGGCTAAACTGAGGGTGTTAATATTTCAAACCAGTTACATAACTGAACAGCTGAAATAATCCCTTAAATGCACAAGTCCTGTTTAAAAACAGGGGAAAATGATTAAGAGTCTGTGTGTCCAGGGATTAGATGTGCAGGGAGCTTAGAGAGGTGCTGTCCTCAGATGACCTACGGGCTATGAAATGGGGTGAAAAATATGTATCAACAAATTAGCTGCTTGCTTAAGGAGGACTCTTGTAAACAAATGTTTATCCAAACAGGGTTTATATGATGGGCGCTGAGCTTCCAAGTTAAGCTGTTAATAATGAAAAAGTAGCAGCGGGAGGAGAAACAGCACAGGACATAAATATTGTGAATGGTGACGATATTGAAGGCTACTTGGCTCTAACTCCACTTTCATTAGTCAGTAAATTACACACACAGCCACTTTGTTCACAGTCTAACTCATGATTATTACTGGGACCGAGGTTTACCAATGAAGCTAAAGAAATACAACATTGTTTTAAAAAATTCTTATTTTTTTAATTACTGCAAAACTTTCATACATTCCAGTTTCATTATATATAAAGTGAAAGATTTTTCATCCTTCATTTGTTTTAGAACACTTCCTCAGCTTAAGGATGTGCGTGACTACTTGACTAGATGACTAACTGTCGCTGCTGGTTGGTACCAGACATTCTGCTCATTTAATCTAATTGTTAACATTTCAATCGATGCCAGCAATTTATTGTGTCGTAAAGGTTATGCATCCATGAGCCACCAGATGGAGCTGCAGCCCCAAGATCGCTGTAGAAACCCCCATAAATCTGTAAATCTAGGCTTGATCCTTTATTTAAGTCACTGCTAGTCAAGCTGGTTTGATAGTCTGATCGGACAAAGGAGGGAGAAAGGTTTCACCCGCCACAGCAGGGCTGTAACTAAAGATTATTCATGTAGTGGTCTAATTTGCCTTTTTCTTTAACTTTCTAAAACGGACCCATTCAGACCTGGCGTCACAGCTCCAGGGTGCGGGCGCTTTAAATAATCACGCACTGCGGTAGTGCTGTTGTGGGAGGAAAGCTCCACTTTGCACAATCTACATTTAATGTTTATCTTAATCTCTCATTTCCATTTTCTTCCGTCCTCCTTGTTTTGCGGTCAGTTACAAAAACACATTTACGTGGTACTAGCGTATGATGCGTCGACAATAAATTTCTGCGCAGGCGATGTCGTCGATTATGCTGAGGAATAGTTGCAGCCCTACACCACACGCACACTCCTGTGCAGCCCCTCATTTAGTCGACTAAGAAATTAGTTGTCAGGAGCTGAGATCAATCAAAAACTGATTTACAATACAAAAACAACTTCTGAACACAATGTTACTTATTACTTTAAAAGCAGACACAAATGTGATATAAAAACAAAATGGACTTGACTGAACTAAAAAGCTCCCTGCTATCTTTTTTCATTAAATGAAAAATCGTTTTGATTTCAGGGAACAAAAATCGTAACTTTTGTTGTTTTTTTGTTCAGTAAAAGATGTTTAACAGTGATTACGTAAATGTGGGTCACAAACTGATCCAGATGGGCCGCGCAGCATAATTTACAATAAATACCTAAAAAAATATATTTGATTCTTACAAACAAATTACATTTCAAGTGCACAGAAAAGCATCGTTTTAAAAGTCACCTTTTAGACTTTTATACAACTTAATCCTGTTTGATAACTTTATAAAATTAGATGCACTTATTATTTAACCCTACAGGATAAAATCCTTTAGGATTGGTTTCAAAATCAACACATTTTTATTTTAAAAGTTTTGGGATTCTAAAGAACTTCTGAGGGTTTAAGGGGTTTCAAAATAACTTATTTATTATTATTATTATTATTATTATTATTATTATTCGGGTTTTCAGACCATTTCCTGATCTTGAACTCATCTCACATTTCATAGTAACCAGGAAACTTAATTTGGAAAGAAAAACTAAGATTAAAACAAATGAATGACAAAACACACACAGGAAACGTTTCATTTTTCATTTGTGAGACGATCAGAGTGACTAAAAGTTTTGTGTGTCCCATTTCAAACTGTGCCGTGGAAGTTTAGGAATGGCTGAAACACAATACAGTAAAGTACAGTACAGTAGGGCTGCTTGCTGTGATTTGCAATCGGAAGGAATAGTATACGTTATCTCTGTCTTTCACTTTTTGCAATATTTGTTATTATAAAAAAAGTTAACAAACAGACATGACTTTAGGCTCTGGTTGCTTCATGGCATCTGTAGTTTGACCAACTAAAGAGAGAACTTTATTACCCAAATATGCAAACATCATCAATCAATAAAACTTTATTTGCAGTGCTGTGGAGAGATGTAGTGGAATAGTTTCATACTGATTCACATTCACTTTACTGCATGGTTACTGAGTATACAAGAGAATCAGTTAAATTTGTTTCACCAGCTTCTTGTTCAGCTTTTGTTTCTGCTATGCCACATCATTTTCTTCAGTTTTTGTTTACCACTAAATGCAAATTGCATGACAAACTGTGTTTGCACAATACATCATTCAAGCAGAAACCTTTGCCTTTAGTGGGTGGACGCAAAAATCAATTTGGGCTGGCAGCCTGGCAAACACCTGCTCTCCAAGCCAACCTGGCTTTTAGGACAACTGTCTTTGGCTAACACCAATCAACAGTGGCACTTTAAATGCGTAATATTAAATCAAAACTACTTTGACTATCCTACCAATACCAATTGTAAAGTATTATCTGGTTGTCATAGTAACTAAAACCCACCAGTAGCCCTGATTCCTACATGCAAAACTCAAAAGACTTTAATAACCGGTGAACTCACAGGACAAAATAAATCCTTCTGGTGCCTGAACTTGTTCCCCTTCATGATCATGTGTGTTAGTTTCAAACTCACCTGTTTAAGTGTGTAGTGCTGGGCCATAAGAGCTCGCACCATTTCAGGCAAGGCTATGGGAACTGTGGTCAGACGGTCAGAGAATGCCGTCAGTAGCTGCTGGGACTTCTGGAGCCACTCCTGTCTTCCAGTGTAGTGGGACAGACGAAGGAGGTTGAACGCTGAGACTGAGTTAGCACTGGGCTCAGCTCCATCCTGATCTGAGACGCAAAGACAAACAAAAGATGCTCAACAGTTACAGTCTAAGACCTTGAATATACTCTGAATCAAGAAAACAGAGGAGTTATTTAAATGAAACCGAGTATAAAGTTATAGTCACACTAAAACCGTGGTCAGAGATTTCAGCATGAGCATATTTATTGCACAATTGTGCAAAGAATTTGCAAACTCACTGGCTTTGAACGACTCCTCTGAAGATACACTTCAGTTGTTTGGAGACAGGCTGCTTTTCACCAGGCAACGTGCAATAAAAATACTCACCGCAACTACTTGCAAATTGTTCACCGATAGCAAAAAACTTCAATGCAATTACCAGGCGACCAGTGATTATTCCTAGTTACAGAGATGTTGCCATCCTATTTTTACTCTAGTGTGAGTGAGCCATAAGATGGGGATTAGGACTTGAGACAAAACAGACTCACTCACAACACAACTCATTTATTGTTATCTGAAAAAAGGTCCTGGGAAGGTGCACAAAAAACAATAATCAACTTAAGCATTATTTTGTCTTTTAGATATTCTTCACTAAAGTTGCCTTCAATTTTTGCCCGGTGACTGCACTGAAGTTTTTTGCTGTCGGTGACCGACTGAAACTGAATGTTTGAACATTCAGTTGTGGAAACACAGGTATTGCCCACTAAGTTCAGCAAATTGTCCTCTTTTTTTTGTTTTTTTGTTTAAAATGCCAACATCAATCAACAACAGGCCAAAACAAAAGCTTCTTTTTTATTTTTCAATTTTATTTTTATTTTTTATGAAAAAAATCATTTTAAAAAAATAATAAAAAATGAATGCAGGTTTAGGAAATTTCATGCTTAATTTTTCAGACTCAGATTATGCTCAGTGTTTTATAAACTCTATGGCATAGCAATGCGTTGTACGTTATTTTTAACTAATGTGATTTGTCTAAACATGAACAAACATTAAAAGTTTCGCTTTTAAATCCAGAATGATGCCATGCTTATAATCCAAATGTGGATGCAATGCCTTTCTGTGTGATGTGATGGACACAACAGATAACCCCATGAATGGCTCTGTTCAGTGACTGGTCCTTATCATTCATATCAGTGTCTAATGAGAACCTGGAAGGTGATGTTCCCATAACCTCTGCCCTTGCTACATGATTGCTTCTCAGGCCTGAGTTCTGTGTTTCTGAATGTATGTGAGTGTGCTTTTTATTGTCCAACACAATTTACTCTTTAAGTTAAACTGCACATTTTGAGCAAAACCTGGAAATGTAGAGTTGTAGAGTTCTGACTTCTAAGTATTTACAGCAAAATGGCCCTACACAGCCACACAGCTGTCCTGTACACTGCATATTCAATATGTTTTATAATGAGCACGAATTACCATCATCCATGCGTGACTGAAATGCAGAAATACTTTGATTTGCATGTTTCTGGACTCCACAGCAAGGAAGTTTCAGCACACACACACACACACACACACACACACACACACACACACAGACAAACACACACACACACACACACACACACACACACACACACACACACACACACACACACACACACACAGAGATTTATAACAAATATGTTTGCTTTCAACATTTCACATCTCATCTCTTAAGGATCCCCATGGAAGGAGGGCAGATGAAGGCGTGACAGTACTGCTTCCAAACAGACACACACATAGAAAACTTGCTGTCAGCACAGAAACACACACTCACTGCAGTAAAGCACTACTTAAGACTTTTATCAGTTTTTTAAAGTCTACAAAAACAGCTGAAGCAGTCTCAAGTTGATGTATCCTGTATTTTTCTGTCTTTTTAAATGGGAATACATCTGACAATGCACTGTGACCACGAGAGACAAACAGTGTTTTCAGAAACAACTGATTTTCAACTACAAAACAAAGACTGATATTGTGCATAATTGCAACCTTAGTCTTCAAAAACAAATACACACAAGGGAGGCTGAGGCGAAGGGATGTAGAGTGGCAGCATAGTGGGGTAATCCGTCTTGCGGTGACAGGCCACGCTGCTGGGACCGGCGTCCACACTGCAGCGGGTGTAGCGTCACTAATGGGCTTCAACCCCACACAGCGCCGCCACCATAATGGCTCCGTCAATCCTCTCAGATGAGAGAGCTCTCACGCGTCAGCTTCGATAAACACACACAGATGCAGGTGTGACGGCGCGCAGGGACAAGCGCTCCAAAACACACAAGCTCAGGCTGCCATCATCTCTGATCTGTCCCACATTTCATAATAAAAATAACAATCACCAAAAGATCTGCATTTCCAACTGAAAAATGATGAATCCTGTCATGGAGGAAAAGAAAAGATGTCACGTGAGATCCATTTGGAAGGGAGAAAGACGAGCCTACTGACTGTATTAGTAAGGAGAAAAAAAATTAACTGAGTCGAGATGACAAAGGAGTTATGAATAAAAATACAAGTGGGAGTAGGAAGCTGTTGAAATAGATGGTCCCTGTCAGACAGAGCAGCTTGGGAGCAAAAACAAATAGGCAACTACATCCAAATTGGAATCTACAGCCTGGCAGATCAAAGGTACATGTCAGCACGTAGACAAAGTGTCAGTTTCTCTGACATGCCAGCAGCCATCAGTTACAGAAGTGGATTGGCAACTGAAGAAAGGCTGGAGTGCACATCCAGGCCAGGACCATTTATTTTTATATCCCCAGTCCTTTGGTACAAAAAGAAATCTCCTTTTTCTACAGATTTGCAACATTAAAGAAGTTCTTGAGGAAAAGTTTTTTTGTTTTTTACGAGCTAAGCAAAAAGTATAGACCAGGGGTCGGCAACATGCGGCTCTTTAGTCCTTGTACTGCAGCTCCGCGTGGTCTGGGAAAATAAATTAGAAGTATTTAGCTGAAGTGTGTTTTATTTGTGATTAGTTCTTTTTTTAACTTGTAGTTCTAAATTGGAAGATTATTGTGATATTGAAATATAAAATAAAATTATATTTTATAATTTTTTCATCGCTCAAAATAAGCGTCACACTCGCGGAAGCCGGTGTACCCGCCGAAGCGCCGTGCATTTATCGAGACTTTCAACCCCAGGTAGGCCAATTATGGATCTTCGGATCCACATTATGTCAGCAGCTCCACCGTGAACTAAGTTAAAAACAAACACCACTCACGCCTCACAGATGACAGCTTACAGTCCTGCGTAAAGATGAAAGTGACTTAATAAAGCCCCGATTTGCAGACGCTGTGCGCGGAGGTTCAGGAGCGGAAGTCCCATTGTAAACGTACCACGCAGACCCGACGATGTTTCCATGAATGTGCTTTTCAGCATCTCTTTATTGACCACTTTTCACACACGGTTGCTGTACGCATACAGCAGGCTGTAGCTTTTCAGCTCACAGCCCGACACATACCAACAACAGCAGAGAGCACAGACGTTAAGGCGGCGAGGCGTGATTGCGGGTGCCGCTCAGGTGCGTCCGCCTCCGCTGCAGCGGCGCTGCAGACCACGCCCCGCCACACACATCAACCTAGTAAAATACATATTTAGGCAGAATTTTGCAAATATCTATTTTTCATTTTTTTTTGCAGCATAGTGCTTTTTTTCCAATTGTTTCTTCAAAGTCAGGTCAAGACTCCAAAAGCCCAAAGGCGATAAAAGGGGGCCTCACAACAGTTTTGTTTGCTACATGGATCATTTTAGTTCAGCTGGGTGTCTTTCCTTTTGTTATATTTCTTTAAGAGTTCAAAATGTGTTAATTACATAAATAAAATGTAATTTTCTCTGTAGCACTTCATGGATTTCATAAGCAACACACCTTAGTTGAAGCATAAAGGTAAAAAACAAAACAAAATAATATATGCAGTGTTATCTTCATTTTAGATGTCAAAAAGTATTTGCGGCTCCCAGTGTTTTCTTTTGCGTGGAAACCAGGTCCAAGTGGCTCTTTGGGTGTTAAAGGTTGCAGACCCCTGGTATAGACCATTATATTTTCAGACACTGTACAGAATATGTATATATGCGGATGGGTTTCTTGGACATTTGTTTATATTTAACGGCGCAGCGAGTCTCTTTACAGAAACTCTTTAAATCTTTTAGCTTTCTTGGCTAACAGATTAGCTACCTGCTTAGCTACCTGAAGCTTGAGCTCCTTCCACAGACGTTTACAGGACTGAGGTCTGGAGACTGGCTAGCCTTGTTTGGAAGAACAGATATGTTGAGTGTGACCCAAAGAACATATCTGTTCTTCCAAACATGGCAGGTTAGGTTGATGTGAGTTTCATCTGACCGCAGCACTTACTCCAAGCCTTCTCTGAATTATTTAGCTGTTCAATGGGAAAGTTAAGATTTGGTCTTGCCGACCATGGCGGACAGACTGGAATGGAAGAAACTAATTCTGTGGACAGGTGTGCTTTACACACATAACACATTGAGATCAGGAGTATCTGTAATTGACTGATTGGTTGTGTGCCACGTTACAAACAATCAGTGGGAACCAGAATTCTGGCTGGGCTGTAGTCACTTAATGAGACGCAAATCTATTTATAACTTTTATGTAATGTGTTTTTTCTGAACTTTTGGTTAATATTCCGTCTCACTTAATTAAAATGAAACCATCATAAAAAATAGAGACTGTTCATCTCTTAGTAAGTGAGCAAACTTACAAATTCAGCAAGTGACCAAATAATATTTTCCCGCACTCCAAGTAACAGCTAAGAAGGCACTAATATTTTAATCACCAAAACTAAGCACAAACTTCTGGGATGGCCAGCAACCCATAATAGTAGTTACATAATTCATTTAAAAATTCTCCAACAGCACACACACTAAGGGGGGGGGGGTGGTCAGTAGACACTATAACTGTCTGTCTTGGGACACCTATCAGTCAAAGTGACTGTGCCCCAAACGTGACTATCCAGCTGGAAAAGTTGGAAAAATTCACCCAATTCAGGATTGAATCTCTGAAACAGCAGGCTGTCAGTCTGTCTGCACAGTGCTACTTCTTCTACTTCTATAGTAATACACTGTTTCATCACTACCTTTTACATAAGAAGATTTTAATTAGCAAAACTTTAGGCATCTAAAGGAATTATTTCTACAAAACTCCAAACTTTCCACTGCAGGAAAGGTTTAAGTTCTTAGTGGAAAACAAGGTTAGACAACATTTTTCATTTTTAGTGGCCATTCGTGTACCTTGTTCAATCTATTTCTAACCTTTTTAATCATTCAATTTATTCTCTACAGTTATATGCCAATTTTAGATTAGATCAGATATTTTCAGTGCATTTGTGATAAATAACGAACAAACACATAAATACTGGCCTTACACAGCTTGTCCACTGGGGGCCTGGCCCAAATGTCCCACATCTCATCACAGCTCCATCAATCACTTATATTATGTTAGATATTGCTGAAAATATTGTCCTCAAAGGTTTCCTGCACCATGCTGATGCTAGTCTAATGCAATGCCACCTGTTTTGTCATTTACCAGGTTCAAAATCATTGTAAAGCTGAGGCACAGGACCAGGTCAAAGACAAGACTTCAGTCACTGGGAAATCAGTAGGATTGTTTCTGGGTTTCATTAGTGGGTTTCATTTCCTCAAGCAGAAAACAGATTTTTATTTATCGAATAGCCTGAAACAAAACAACACTCTAGTACTGTTTGTAAGGAAAACTATTTGTGGCCCAATTGTGCTTATATTTGTAATCAACATGAAAAGGCCCATACTGAGGAAGGAAAAGAAACAAACCCTACAAGGCTAAAAGGTAAGTATGAGGGCAGCAAGGAAGAACATGTAATAATTGGAAAAGAATGAAGATGTAAGCAAGATGAGAGCAGGCAGAAGCAGAAGGTGGGTTTGAGATTCCCACTGCAGATTGTCGTCCTGTTCCAGCCTGTCAGGAGCAGATGGACTGAGAGACAGAAAGAAGACATATTTGACAGGCCTGGTGATCAAAGTAGCCGAAGAATCAGAGCGTCAGTCTTTGAGTGCTTTCAAGTTGAAGAGGTTCAGCTTGAATGAGTGAGGCTTTTACAGTGCTGAAGGTAGATAGGAGGAGGTCAATACTCCTCTGCTCCCCTCTTTTATCCTCCAGCTATTCATCAGTCTATCCACCAATCTGTGCCTTCTTGCCTTTTCACTAACATTTAAAGTGTAGCAATAGAGGGAGACTGACAGAGATATTACAGACGAGGCTTCCATCGTGTTAAGATCCAAATCGATCAATAAGGTGGAAGATATACGCAGGCGAGAAAGAGATGGACGGTACATGAAAAGATGAGCAATTAATGATTACGCTCATCCAGTAACTCAGCATCCATTCATGCCTCCTCTGTTTGTTTAACTCAGTGTGGTCAACTTCTGCCAATTTCCAATTCTGCAGACACATCTCAAACTTAGTATTTATTCATCTCTCTGAGCTACATCCTCACACTTTGCCTGAGCCGCAGCGGTATTCTGCAGTAGTGCTTAGAGCAGGGCGATATGGCCAAAAATATTTATCACGATATATATTTGAAAATTTGCGATAACGATATAAC